AATATTTTCTTGATTTTTTTCACATCATCATTATAGATGGAAAATGAAAACAACAAATTTAAAAATCCAATATTTGTCCTAGAGATATGCTTTGATGACATTTAGTAAATTTATCAATTTACTGTATTTAGTTAATGTGATGTTTATGTTTAACTTAATATCTAATTTATTTATGAACAGTATTCAATAGGTTTATAAAAAATGTACTATAAGCCTTATTTAAAAAAAATAATCCAAACAAAAGGAAAGATGATACACCTGTAGAGCAATAATCAAGACATTGGTATTTAATTTATGTTTAAAAATACATATTTAACTTTATGTAACCAATAGTTTATACAATTTTATGAAACTAAATGGAATGAATAACTTTATTTTTAAAATGACAGACCTTTTTTTGTTGTTTTTGTTTTTTTTAGTTAAATGGTATTGATGCTTTTGAGTTTAATAAATTGCTTTTATTTTTTTTTATTTTCAAACCAGGTGTATATTAAAAAATATCTAATTGCAGTATGAAGTTTATGGATTTGTTTTCAAGTCAACACTGAAGAAACATAACATGCATAGGGGATAAAACACTCTATATGAGATCTGTGGTCTTAGATCTTCAATGAATTTAATTATGAAAATTAACATGAAAATTCATACGGGTGAGAAACTTTTCTACTGTGAAATCTGTGGATGTACATATTTCTGAAATTCACATCTCAAAACACATATAAAGACACACACTGAAGAGAAACACTTCCACCGTGAATTCTGCCCTGAGATTACAAATTAAAACACTGGAGAGAAATCATTCCATTGTGAAATCTATGGAAACCAGTGTTACATAAATTCTGCTCTCAAAAGACAAAAACTCACTAGTGAGAAACTATTCCACTGTGAAATCTATGGATATCAGTTTTCCCATAATTCTGTTCTCGAAAAACACATTCACACACACTGGAAAGGCAGTTTCCACTATGAAATCTGTGAATTGAAATGTTCTCAGGATGGAAATCTCAAAAAATATAGGTTAACACACACTGGAGAGAAACCATTCCACTGTGAAGTCTAGATATAAGAGTACCCAAAATTCTGCTGTTAAAGTACACATGTTGGCACACACTAGAGAGAGATCATTCATCTGTGATATCAGTGGTTTAAATCTTACCTTAATTCTGCTCTCAAACAACTCATTTTAACACACACTGGTGAGAAACGTGAAATTTTGGACTGAAATTTAGCCACAATGGAAATCTCAGATCACACATATTAACACACACTGGAGAGAACACTATTGTAACCCAATATGTAACCCAATAGTTCACCAGAAAGCTACACAAGGAAGATCAACTTAGAAAGTTTTAATAAACTTATGAATTTGCAGCATGCATATATTCCAGGAAAACTTGGAACTTGCAGCAATGTTTGAATTAGACAGAATTTATAACCCATTAGAAGCGCCATATACAGGTCCCTTTCAAGTTCTTGAATAAATGGCAAAACATCTGATAAAATGATTGATGACATGTAAACACACAAGTAAAACACAAAATTCCATTGAAGCATGTTAAAGTGAAACATGATAACCAACAAATCTACCCTACCTTAAACGATGAAGCAAACATAAAAGAACACACTTCCAATAAACCTAAAACTAAATCAGGTAGTACAGTTTCTTGGAAGAAACATAACAATTACTGAGAATAAAGGAAATTCCAATTTAGTAGAATTGCTGTAATCAGCAAGTAATGAGTTATCTGATAGTTCAATAGATGAACCAATGACATTACCTGCCTCATTTCCACCGTGGCAGACAATTTAGAAAATCCTCTTCTATTGACAATGAACAGCTGACCAGTAAAATGTACTGAAATGGTATCTGATCTATAATCAAGTGGATACGTCATTATTATTATTATTATTATTCTTAAAGTATATTGTGAAACTGAAATCTTTTTGGATGACTTTTTAACTGGGTCAGTCACAGGAACTTAAGTTATAAGCAAAAATCCATAGTAAAATCAGTACAATGTTTCCAATGAAAAAAATAGTTTTTTTTTTTTTGTTTGTTTTTTTTCCTTCATTAATATGTAGTTTGACAGTAATATCGTAAAAATAAATATTTTCTTCTCGGTAATTCTTTGATATCAATAGACTTCACTACTTCTAATTTTCATTTTCACTGCAGCGAAATGCATTATAAATAAGTGAAGCTAAAATTGAATCTTTTTCTTTCTCCAAGCCTAGTTTTCAGTTTCAAGTTCATAGAATGAAATCATTAAATACTGAATTCATAAAATCTCTATCTTGGTTTCCATCCAGTAATCAGTTAATGATTGTGAGCCTCTCAAGACAGTCGCTTATCCACAACCAACAGCACCACCACTATGTTTTTATTTCAGAGGGTTGGGGGTATGCTAGTTTATGGGATTTTTTGAAAAAAAGAAATACGGCGTCAAGTATGAAGCAAGTCATTGTCATGCTAAATTTGATGATTTTGTCATCTGAGGTTACATCTCAGTTGCATATAATTTTGTTCAGTTATTTTAGAAATGTGTCTGGTCGTACCACCAGGAAATAATTTTAATGTCAGAATGTCTATGGACCGATATGTTTCTATGCACACAGTGTCGAGAGGTTCTTAAATCAGGACGATTTGTAATTGTAACGTTTTAGTTAAATATAAACTCTGATTTTGAATAAAATTTGTACCCAAAACCAGTAACTGGTGAAACCAAAGAAAACTGGTGCTTATAAGAAGCATTTTGGCTAAAGACAATTCATCTTGAATCTACGAGATCGCTTTTCAAAGAATGCCCATAACTAAATGTCACCGCTTTGACGTTGACTGATTATTCATTTTCTCTCATTAAGTTGTCATATCTCCCAACATAATTTCTAATTCTTTATTTATTTGCAGAAAAAAGAACCTTACGTCATTTGGTTTCCCCCACTTAGTTTGACATAATGATAATTTTACATAATTCATTCATCTAGTCTGAGAAAATCGTGTTACAGTTTCCAAATGTGACCAGAGAAGTTGCAGCATCTGGTTTTCTAATTTTAATTTAAAACCTATTAAATTTTTGCTTCAAGTCTGCACACTTCAATTGAATAGAAGATATGTAAACTTCTTTGGTTTCACTTAACCATGCAGCCTATGTCTCTTGAATCCAGAATCCTGCCAAATATTTCTCCAAAATCCCAATCTCAACAAGTTTACATGATCAAGTTCAGTGTTATCCATCAATCATTTTCACACAATTAGAAGTGTGGCAGGGGCGATATCACCCCTGAAATAATAATAATGAAAAAAAGGGATACTGTAAGACAGAAAACACCAAGTGAAGAAAGACGTTTTCGAATAACCAAGATGTTAAAATGCTGTAATGACTTTGAAATGTAAATGTTACAGAAAGAAATTTAGAACACGAAATACAATCTTTTTTTAAGTGTACAAAGGATATCAGATTACTAATAGAAAATTACTGGGACAATGATAATTGGAACTTTTAGAAAAAGAAATAGATTTTGACACTTTAAAAATCAAGTTAAAGGCTGATTTGATTTAGAATTTATTTTTTAAACAGGACTCTGTAGTTTTGAAAAAAATAGCAACAAAGGATTGAAAGATTAGAGCGGACAGTTCTCTGTGTTTAGGCGGCTCTTTCAGGGAGAAGAATAAAGACACAAACTCCTGCTCGGTGTGTAACAACAAAGGAAGAAAATATTTATTTACATGCAAAAAAAAAAAGGGTAACGATACACTATTACGAGAGAAAGAAAGGGAGAAGAAAATTTCTTTAACTTTAAAGAAAGAAAAAAATGTTCATAAAATGGCTTGCGCAAAATATTTTTCTGGCGCCTAAAAAGTAATTTAAGCGACTACTAGATTGTTGTTAAAGGTTAAAACACTCACATATTTGTTCAAAGTTCTTGTATAGGAGGAAAATGTCCGACGATATGAATTTCGTAGGCCGGCAACTGATATCTTTTCGGTGCAAGGAGGCAGGCCTCAATTGGTTTTTTAGTAGTGTGCCGACGTTCTTTCTCGAATTTTCCCTCCAAAATTGCTATACAAATTTCCTAGCCCTTTCATGTCTTCCGACTGAAAGAGCCGCCTAAAAATAGAGAACTATCTGCTCTAACCTTTCAAGCTGTTTTCAATTTTGTCGCATTTTTAACCTCAATTTTGTCGCATTTTTAACCTCAACCCATTCGTGTTGGAAAACCTGGACAAATTTCCCATATTATGCTCAAAAATAAAAACTATGGGGGTTGGGAATCTCGACTTGGGTCATCACATTAACTAGGTACACAAATAGGATCTATCCTAACCAGGGCAGGGCTCCACAGGATGCGATAGGGAGACCTAAAAAAGAAAATCAATGCGAGCCCCTTTTACGCGAACTTAAAAACTCGAATGTGTGCAACTCTGAAATTCTTTAATTAAATGCAGAAGTATTTGAAAAATAAATCATCGACTTTATTTTGTAAATCGAGGAGCGTTATTACTCAAACTTTAGCTCTAAGTTGTAAAAAATAATCAAAAAATACTTTGGTCTTTTCTCTTAATAATTTAGCATCCCGCTACAACCTTTTTTATCAATATCAATTTTTGTACAAAAAGTGGATCACAGAACTTATTCAGCTTAATATATATTTTCAGAAAACCTCAACTTATGATTAGTCACAGAATATTTAAATCATGCCCGAATATCAATGTCGATTTCTGTGCAAAAAGTGGGTCACAGAGCTTATTCAGCTTAATATATATTTTCAGAAAATCTCAACTTCTAATTGGTCACTTAATATTTAAGTCATGCTCGAATAACATCGACCTAGTTCTTGACCTGGCTAAAAAATAATTCCGCCGAAATCTGTCAAGCCTCTGTGAGCCTAACACGTGACCAAAGTTAGCAATAAATATGAAACGTCTTCCATCTTCGACAGTGAGCCGATCGGAAATCTTTGAGCTCGTTACATAGTTCCAGGCTTTACGTTAAAGTTCCTTAACATGATTTTAGCCTGAAAGAACACTTATTGCAGCGGGCCGAGAGGTGAGAGTGCCAATCGACCGTACAACTAAAAAGAGGACACAAAGGCAAGGAGATGGCAATAGCAAAGAAGGATGACAAACACAGATGGTCCGTTGTAGACGATAGAAATCGTGTCTTTGTTTGCGAACAGTGGGTGGAAAGACGACAGAGGTCGTTTGTTCGGGAACGGTATCCGGAGGTTGGAACTGGTCGCTGGACGTCAGTGAAGCGCTGCAGGAGTGAGCCGGAGATTGCTGGAAGCTGCAGGGGTGAGCTGGAAACTGCGGGAAGCTGCAGGAGCGAGCTGGAAGCTGCAGGAGTGTTGGATGCTGCAGGAGTGCTGGATGCTGCAGGAGTGCTGGAAGCTGCAGGAGTGAGCTGGCGTCTCAGAGGGAAGGCAGTAGCAGAGAGTGAAGTGAGTGGAGCCTCGAAGAGTGGTGATCGAATGACTTTCAGAAGTTAGCCCTGAAAAGGACTGTTTGAACAAATGCTGCTGCTGATGCTGGGACCCGTCAGCTGCTGGGCTCGGTCGACTTGACTGGGCGCGTCAAAGTCGCGATTCAGGAAGGCTTCCTGCTCCCTGGCCGGCTAAAATCCACTGCGAAGTCTCGGGCATCTAGATATGACGGTTCATACAAGAAAAGCGGTGACGCTAAACAAGTAAATGAATATAATTAATTTCGGGCCGTATAAATTACAGTCAAAAGTGTGTTTGGTGTTTGTTCACTGTATTTAAATTAATTTCGGTTCAAAATTAAAGGTCTTTTATTTTTGTTTAGTGGCGAAAATTGAGTTTTGTGTGTTTCTGTCAGTTTGAAAGGATGTCGTTGCTATTTTTAGCACACAAGGGTCGTGACCTTTCTCTACCAGCAGGCATATCCGGGGTTGTTTAAGAAAAGGTGGGAGTGGTGATTGGACACACTGCGACACACTCACTCACACAGCAATATTTTATCAGAGACAATCAGCACAAGTTTTCCACATTCAACTTGATACACGAATCTTTGTCATACGCTTTCAAGTTCAACGTTAATTATTGCAATTAACATAAACACAGCTTGTTAAGAACCACTTACTCCAACTAAAGAATATTCTCTTCAAACGACAAGTGAAAACAAGTCAAAGAGCGACAACTTCGTAAAACTTAAAGTAAGTCGTGAACAATATTTCTCTGTTTATTTTTCCTTAAATTACAATAATGCCCAAACACATTGTCTCGTTATTGTACAGATCATTCAACAACTTATAATCTATCAAACCAGAACTTTGATAACTTTTCAATCTAAACATAAAAGGACGTTTCAACTTTTTAAAACTACCTCTTTATTCCAGTTGTTTTTACCTCTTGGTTATATAAATATTTTATTCATTGTTGTGCAAAAACTGTTGTTTCTCATGTTGTTCTTATTCTATGTTTGTTGAATACAAAAAATTAAATGTAAGAGGGAATTGCTAATTTCATCACGCAGCCTATTTATCCAACAATTATTAATCCATATAATTTAATCAATTAACACAACCTCCACAATAATATAAACATTTAGGCGATAACATTTCGCTTTCATCAAGTTTAAGGCCGGTTTTATCATGCAATGCTCTTTTTTAGCGATTTCATGAAGCTACCTAAATTTATACAATTTAAAAAGGGAAAATTAGTTGAAATCTCAGCAACACTACTGTGATAAAAGAAAAGAAAAAATTATTTTTTTAAAATGTTGAATGCATATATTTTTATTCATTAAAAGCAAATTATATAGGTCCCTCCACTTAATATTTACCATTAGTTTTTTAGCGCCTTTTTTGAAGTTGAAAAACACATTAATTTGGAAATTCTTGCAGAAATAAAATAATTGTCGGATTTTATAGGAAGTTTCAGAATTTATTCACAAATGAATGAAATTATTTTGAAAGTGTTTGTTCTTTAGAAAGTCATGGTAAAAATATTTTTTTACATCTATTTCACCCCGCCTTGTTTAATCGAATATTCGACTTCTGTGTAATTTTATGATTATATTAGTTAAAATCAGAAGACTTTGAAGAATACAAATCATCCATTTTTATAGTAAATTTCAACCCAGTAATACCCAAAATTCAGCTCTGAATTGTAAAATACAAAACCCGTTAAAACTAAGACATCATTTAATTAAAAAAGATTTTAATGGCTTTTATGAATAATATATTTTAAGGACATTTTTGTCTGAAGCCAAAATACTTTTTCGATGAAAAATGAGTTTTTACAAGAATTGTTTTCTTATTTCCAATTTTAAATACAAAATGTGATAAAGTTGTTAAATATTTAAAAATTAAGTTTGAATAACTTTGGAAATGCTTTTATTAGAAGATCTAGCTTCACAGATTATAAATTTGAAAGCTTATTATAATTTGCGAATCGTTTGTATTTTCAAAATAATTTTTTAATATGCCAAAAAATGTATTAAAAACGTTTCCGACAAAACTATGGAGACACAATTCAGCAATAATGCCCCATGTTTTAAGAGTTGTTTCCCTGATAGCGAGAATCCGGTTTCATAAATTGCGTTGATTTCTTGTCAATTCTCTGACTGACCGACCATTATCGTCGCATTTTCAAAATTTTTAATTTTCTTTCTTTTTTTTACATATTTAACTAAATATTTTCTTTACATTTTTTAAAAATATAATCAATTTTCCTTTTTCAGTGAGAGATATACTGCAATTTTTAATTTTAGGGACGGGAGCATTGCAGGCTATGGACATGTCTTCGTTAAACTATATCTAAAAAATCAATAAAATAACAGTTGATGTAACAGAGAGAGGTATACACACACCCACATGAATGCACACACGCAAATATAACTTTTATTGACTGAAAGTGGAAATGGTGTTTATATATCAAAGTACAATTTGGGTTAAGATGTGTATTTGCCGATGAAAAAAACACGATGTTTTAAATCTGGGTCACTAGTAAACAATGGGGATGGGCGAGATACTTGGTTTTGTTTAGCAGTATTTGTTTCGATCAACAGGTTGAATCAATGTTTAGATATCCCAAAGTATAATTTTGGTGAAGCGATAAGAACCCGTGATTGAAATAAGGCAAATAATTGGAGAATCGGTTTACATGTCAAAGGGTAGTTTTTGGCACTCGTGGTAGCTGCGTGCCGGGCCAAGGGTCGATTTATGATCAACCAGATTTAACTATATAAACGCGAAGAAGAGGCAGACAGTCGAGCGAGACGGGAAAAGCCGCGTCGTCGCTGAGTGCCGTCACGTTCGTGGGCACCCGCAGGCGACTGTTACGGGTCGCGGTGCTACAGGCCAGACGGAAGAGCCAGTCGGAACAGCCAAACGGGAGAGACCGCGGTCGGTCGGCACATCGTCGTCACGTGTGTGAGCACCTACAGGCGACTATTACAGGTCGCAGTGCTACATGAGAGACGGAAGAGTCGGGGAAAGAGACTGTCGTCGCAGTGAGTCAAGAGATTTGCGGGAGAGTTTGGAGGAGAAGAGGAGGACTGCCCCCTGTTCTGAGAAGTCTGTATGAGACTGAACTATTAGTCATAAACATACCCCAGGCGATTCAATACGAGTTTATCACACACAAACCCTCTCTCTGTTGGGAATTCGCTGGATGCATTTTGTCTTTTTCTTTTCTCATTTATGTTAAAATTTTTTATTCTCCCTGTAACCTCTGTTCTGATGTTATCTTCTTATATAAAAGACGTCAGTATTTCCCCCATTGTTGTCTGGCTTCTGCAGATATTATTTCTTGTTTTATTTTGCCACATTCTAAAACTTCCTAGCGCCAACTCTCACAGCCGTGTCCACATCCCCAGTCGACCGTGAACGTATGGACAACACCCCGCTTACTGGATCTAAAAACTAACACAGCGTGGGCAGCGAGCAGGACTTGACCAGTCGAAATAATCTACGGGTACTCAGGGAGCGTACAGCCAGTTACCCCTAAGTTCGGTTCGGACCGAGTGGACACCTCAACCCAAAGAGGAAGACGCCGGAGGTTGAGGGGCTGGGGACAAAGTGGTAGATATAGTTAAATAAGCTGATTCGCTTAAACTTCGAAAATACTTCCCCTGACGTTAGTTGTCGATACATTGACGTAAAAACATCAACTCACACCTCCAAAAACAATCACCACCGTTAGACATGCTTCTATTATTTCCAACTAAATTTTTTCTTCTGTAAAATTAAGTAATCTTTGTTTCCAATTACATTTCATTTAGTATACTTTAAATTTTAAATCCGTCTGTAATCTTACCAAAATTAGTTCAATAAAACGAATGAGAATATTTTTCTATCAGTTGCTGCTTGTATAATTCAATGAAACACGTAAATTTATTTCAGAATTGACAGCCAAAAAATGTACTCTTAATATTTTTTGAACATTTTAGGTCAAGGGAGAACAAGAGACACTCACTCTGTTAGTGGCCCTAAAAACCTGCTGATATTTTTTAATGGAATGTGATTGGACGGTTCAAACATGAACCGCCACCTTTGAAAGGGAAGGGAGAACTGGGACTAGACCTTAGAAGCAGTTGGAAACGAGACCGCTTAGAAACATGAGGTCCGTTTCTCTCTCCCTGCTGAAAAGGCAAGCAACATTTGTCTATAAGTAAAGGATGCATGGGTAACAATTTGCTGAAGGCAAGTTGCCCCTTTAGAGAAAGATTTGAGAAGTTCTCTCGAAGTAGCCACAGAAAAGAAAGTTTGAAAAGAAGTCCATAAGTGGAGTTTGGAGATAAAGCCGTTTGAGAAGAAGAAGAAGAAGAAGAAGAAGAAGAAGAAGAAGAAGAAGAAACACATGTTATCAAAAAGTGTTTTACCGCGTGTTTAAGTAAATTTTCCCCTTCTACAGCCGTAAAAGAAAGGCAATATCCAGGTGGACGCGAGGAAAATAAGTGATGAAAGAAGGGAATTTGATCCCCAAGAAGAGAACTTTGTCTACACAAGAGAGAAAAGAAAAAAGGATAAAAACTTTTGAACCTTGAAGGGACTGAAACTGTACTGTAGAGCTAAGGCCCTCTCCCCTTTTTTGTTATCATTGACACAGCAGGTGGGCGCAATACTCTTTTTTTGTGCATTGTAATTTTTAAATTTGTTTTCTGCTATGTTTTTTACATTGTGTTACTCAGAGGATAGGTTATTTTATTCTCAGCAAAAAGGGACGAATTTTTTCAAGAATCCTTATTTAACTGATTAGATTTTTTTTTTCTTTGTAATTGAACCTGATTTACATGTTTTCTTTTCTTTTTTGTTATTAATTCGGGCAATAGTGAAAATACTATTGCAGCAGGTTTTATTTTCTTTCAGAAAATAAAATTTCCGAAACTTTACAAAAATTCTAACTCGGCAAATTCTGCTTTACAAAATTCGAACAGTAGTTTTGCTTGCGAATTTGTAATAGTTTATTTTAAGTTATTTAAGGTTTTTCATTCCAAGGGTCTTACAGATTTGTCTCCCTTACACTGTATAATTTTTTTTTCTTTTTCTTTTTTCTTCCTGCCTTTAATTTTTTTCTTTCTCTCCCGGCCAGAATTGTTTTTAACCACGTGGCGACTATTTAAGTTGTTTGTTACTTTTTCAATTTTCCCGCCTTATTGGCGGCCATCTTGTCTTGTTCGTTTTGAAATTTTAGCCGCCATCTTGTGAGGTTGATTTTTTTTATATAGTTTAACTCTTTTTCTCCTTAAAAGCTACGAACATATCCATCACCCCCACTACTAATTTGCTCATTCGCAAGAGAGACATAATTAAGGATAAAATTAACTCATTTATTCTGAGCATTGACTCCCGAGATGATGTTAATGAAGAAGTCTTTTTGTCTCTGAGGGCTAAGATTGAAAGCCAGCTCAGTGCAGTAGAACTGCTTAATGAGCAAATTATTAATGCTCTTATGGAAGACGAACATGGGGAAGGAATGTTGAAAGATCTTCATAGAGAAGAAACCCACTTTGTAGTTGATACTGAAACCTGAAATAAAGGTTACTCACACAGTTAACATACCTTTATTAACATTAATATACACACATGTTTTTAGCTTCGCGTGCTGGCCTTTTGTTTCAGAGCGAGGCTCGGCGGAAGTAAACAAACCCTGTTATCGCGTCGGAAGGGACAGCAGCAGCAGCACTAGCAGTCACTAGCCCAAGGGATGTTACAAAACCTTTAGGCCGTATAAGAAAAAGGTTTAATGATGAAGGCCGAGCTTGTCTAGCAAAGCCACAGAATATTTTCAGTGTGGCTCATTACAAGGTAACCCCCAAGCTGGAGTGCCCTGTTTTCGATCCAGAAAGTTTAAAGAAAGACATTGGCCTATCTGAACTTTTTTTAAAGAGTTCGAAAACTGTGTTTTGACATAGATAATAGGAGTCTGAGGTTGATTATTCTCAGAAATCATCTCAGACCATGCTCTCAAGCTCATTAAACACCTAACCATCTCGGACGAAAACTATGACTCTGCCTTGGATATATTGAATAGGGAGTTCCTTGATAGGGAACGTATAATGGATCAAATGTTTCTATCCATTTCTAACTCCAGAGTGGTGAAAGACCAAGAGTGGGATAACGTCAGATCGTTTCTCACCAACATTAAGACACAGCTCCATGAGTTGAAGAATTCCTTCTCCTTGGATTTCCTGGAGAAAGGTTCTCCAGGTAGCAAGTTTGTGAATCACATAGTGTTCAGTAAACTGCCGGTGTCGTTTCGGCGTGAAGTTATCAACCGGGTGGGAAATAATTACCCTGAATTGGAGGAGTTATTCTCCATATATTCAGATGCTATCCGAACATTAGAAATTACTAAGCCCAAAAGAGCTAGTCCTGATAAAAACGTTTAAAAGCAGAGATCTCTTAGTTCGCGCAAGGTTAATGTACTTCCAGATGATAGAAAACCCTCAACCCTGGAAAATTACTTAAAGCTGCACCCGAGAAGTTCAGGTGCAATTTTTGTTGTTCCAACGCTCATACTGGATATTCTTGTAGGAAATATCCTACGTTAAAGGACCGCTTGGGTGTGTGCAAGTCATCTAACTTATGCACCAAATGCAGTAGTCCTTCACATTCTATCGAGCAGTGCACTTACGTACATGGCCAATTTAAGCATTGCTGGGGTTGCAAGAGTCTGTTTCAGTGTGTCCTACTGTTGATAAGAAGCAAATGAATGTAAATCCTTGTTTTGAGAAGCACAGATTGCTACCCGTGCTCGAGATTGTAATCGGGCAGGGCAAGACTTAGAAAAAGATAAATTTTTTGGTAGACACTGGCAGTCAACGGTCTTACCATTCAAGTGGTGTAATGAGGACCTTGAATGATAAACCTGTTCAAACAGCTAAAAGAAAATTTGTCATTAAAATCTTTTTGGGTTCGGCGCAGAAAGTATTAAGTGAAGTATTGTTGGACGTCAAGCTTTTTAATGGAATAAAATCGATTCCCTTTCTGGTGGATGAAAAGTTAGACCTAGATTTTCATGGGGTGGGTCTTAGCGCAGCGGTAAACAGTATACAAGCCAGTGGTTTTAAATTGGCGGTGGACTTTTCAAGTGTCCAAGATGATACGTTCTCTGTGCAAGGGTTGTTAGATGTGGATTTGCTCAAATTTTTGGGCCCCATGCAGTTGACAAGTTTGATGAATGGCTCTGCACTTAGGTTCCCTCAGAGATTGGTACCTTTTGGGAATGTTGCAGATTTTTTGGCGCCTGAGATTACTCAGGAAAATAGAGCTTGTGACTCTCATACTCAGATAGTAGCCAATTATTGTCCTGTGACATATGTATATTATGCGTTCGGGTTCAAGTCCATGTATGTGGATCCTTTGGATTGTTTTTCTGAATCTTCAGTTGAGAGGTACCCTGAGAGTTTATGCAGGGACATGCTGCTGGGCCATTTTTTGTGGCCTCATAAAGACCCACAGTTCTCCAACTGTTTTATTGAGTTTGTATCAGAATGCTATCAACATCATGAAGGAGGGTATCTTCTTCCTCAGGTCCTGCAACTCAAACTGTGATATCTTGAGGATTAGAATGAAGTCTGATGGCAATTTTGTTACTCGTGACTCTCCATTTGAGAAAGTTTTAGGTTATTATTATGACCCAGACAAGGATGAGTTACATATAGTGAGTAAGTCTCCTGAAGTTGCAGCCGTAACTAAGAGAAGTGTCCTATCACAGAATTCCAGTGTTTTTGACTCGTTATCCTTATGTCTGCCTGTCACTATCAAAGGGAGACTATTTATCAGTGACTTATGGAGGCTAAACTTTACCTGGGATGACAAGATTCCTTCTGAACACCAGGTGGTCTGGAGTAAATTGTTTGATGGCCTGGTACAGTTGGAACGTTTGAGGTTCCCCAGATTTGTTTTGGATATTTCTGGTTCTGCCAGTTTGTTGGTGTTTTGTGATGCATCTCAGAAAGCTTATGGATTTGCAGCCCATACGAGACAGAATGCGTCTGCCAGATTGATGTTTGCTAAAGCAAAGGTAGCACCATTAGAGAAAAGAACATTGCCGTCCCTGGAATTATTAGCCATTTTTCTTGCCATCAGAACGGTCCCTAACATGTTGAAGACTTTACCGGTTAACGTTGTGAAGAGCGTTACCGTGATCGTAGATGCTCAAATAGTGCTGTCGTACGAACGATTCGAAAACGAAAAGTTTGTTTATTAGAAACAGGTTGAAAGACATTCGGGGAGCAGTGGAAAGGTTAAGAGACCAGGGTTATGATCTCAACTTCAGATATGTCCCATCGGCTGACAATCCCGCTGATATGAGCACTGGAGGCATTTCACTGGATAAGTTTGAATCCCAGTTTCAGTTTTGGATATTTGGGCCTGAGTGGTTGTCAGGTGACACTGCTAATTGGCCGCACAGTGAACTGAATTGTTTGAGTCACAACAGTCAAAGGTTGGTTTTGGCTAACGTTGTTCCTAAAGTTTCAATCGTTCAGGATGATGCCCCGGTAGTTCATTTCAACAGGTTTTCATCCTTTCCAAAATTAATGAGAGTTTTGGGCTATATCTTTAAGTTTATCTTATGGTTGAAGGGTTCCCCTACGGACCATGTGCTGACTGCTAAGAATTATATGTTGAAGTCGGTACAGTCTTTGTGCCTAGCTAAAGTGAAGTTATTCTTATTGGACCCTTCCACCCAGGAGGTGCCGCCTTTGATGACTAATCTGGGTCTTTTCTTGGATGGCGATGGTCTGATCAAATCCAGAGGGAGAATGGAAAAAAAAACGTTTATACGCTCTAGAGATTCTGTATCCCATCCTGTTGCCTCAGGATTGTAAGGTCACCAAGCTGATCATTATGGACTGCCATTTAAAGTGCAAACATCTGAGTATTGCTGCTACCCTTAACAAGCGACGTTTGTCGGGGTTTTGGGTGAATATATATATGTGTGTCTGTGTCTGTGTCTCTGTGTGTGTGACACTATTTAGCGTTTGGCTAACTAATTAAGCGTGAAAATTAAAAGCGAGAAATACTTAAGGCGAGAAGAAGCTATCACGAAAGACATACTGAGCGATGTTATTTTTTTTAACAAAAGAAAAGTGATAAAGATTTTATTTTCATTTGGGAAAAAAGTATTTTTTTCGCAGAAGATAGGAAATTCGTAAGATCTCGGATCTGTCGGATTTAATTTATGCTATGACGCGTTGAATAAAAGATAGCAATCTGCCCATGGCAATAATGAAAATTTCAAATTGGTCAAGTGGCTCGCAGGGCGAAATGCTGGAAGATAATCGTAATTAGGTCGAGGATGCGACCGAGAAAAAGGATCAGCTGTGACCACCCCAAAGAAAAAGGAAGGGAAAAGAGAAAAAGGAAAAGAATAAACCATTAACTATCTTTCGGAGATATCATTTGGTTTTGGAAAGGGACCACCTGTTTTATGTCCAGACCTTGACATGATAAAAGTTTGTTGCCGGGACGGATTGTTGGCGACAGAAGTACGAAGGCGTTAAATATACAAGGAGATTCTGATAATCACTTGACGAAAATCTCGTTGATGAATTCCAGATGACATTCAGTTAAGATAGAGACTTAATGACCACTCTACGAGTCGTGGGGGTCCTAGTCGGGGAAAAGAAAGAAAGGAAACAGGAAGATATTTTTTTTCTTTGAGCGATAATTGTAAACTGAGACTAGCCACACCCACGCTGCCGAGCGTTCATTGGCTGAATGGTGGCGTGAGCAATGGGCGAAGGTAAACATATGAGAAAGAAGGGAAACCTGTTGACGCCTCTGAGGAAATTGGTGTGAGATACCACTATGAGAAAGAAGGGAAACCTGTTGACGCCCTCTGAGGGGATTGATGTGAGATACCAATATGAGAAAGGAAGAATTTGAGAGGACAATTCCCTTAAGAACACCTCTAAAACAGAAAGTAATGGACTTCCAAAAATGGAAAGTGATAAATTTTCCTGTCCGAAAACAAAGAAAATCCTTATTGCGGATTGGAATTATCGAGGAACCCAAACCACGACAGGCCCCCACCCGGTTTTGGTCGGCGTCCATATAAACGGAGTTACAGGGCAGAGACGTTGGGCAGTTAGGCGGACGGTAGCAGTTGAGCTGTGAGCTCGGAGACCAGCAGGAGCTGACTGAAAGATCCCACGCATTCCAACTTAGACTTCTAACCAAAAACAATTTACTTTTGAAGAACGACTTAGACTCACGCCACCAAAACAAGCTTTACGAATATCGCCTGAAGATACCAAAAACCACTTTCTTGAAAAATAACTTAAGATATTAAGACTCGCCTGACAAACGCAAAGTGTCACGTATCCATAGAAGCGGTTTGGGAAAAAGACGCAGTGCTCTATTCAGCAACCAGATATAAAAATATTTGTTATTCTATTTTTAACACATTTGAACCTTTCGAGTTGTTACTTTATTTTCTTTTACATATACTTATGCAGTGTCACCTTTGCTCGAATTCGGCTTGCATTACGGCCCGACGGCTGATTGATTTCGTCTACCTAAGATCAAATCACAACGTGGGTAGGTTAGACTATAAATCAAAGCAGTTACTTCGGTAACCAGACGTTGGAGGCGAGCTGGGAACGACAAAGCTGATACCGAATCTAACCAGATTCCCATCCGAATCAGCCAAGGGTTAGAACGTCACATTTGGCGCCGCGACCAATACCAAGTCACATTGGTCGTCACAGGATAGCACGGGGGCAGAGGCACAGGGTGACGTCACATATATATATAATAAAAATATAACAAAACTTATGTGCACATATGTGTATGGCTATGTGTATATACGTGTATGTGTATATGCATGCATGATGTATATATATATATATAT